ACCTGCCTGTAAAGTGGCAAATCTGTATGATGTATAGAACTGCTGCAGCAAAACTGACATTTCTAAAGAGAAATAAATTTCCCCATTGTGAATAAGTAAGGGTACCCATTCACTAAAGGGTTAAATAAAATTGTAAATAAAAAGACTTTAAAAAAAAAATCCTTTATTTGGAAAAAAGTCACAAGTCTTTTATTTAAAAAAATAAAGACTTCCGGTTCCGGCGCCTGATGAGTTAGCGGCGATCCCGTCATCTCCGTCCCACCGAACGCCCCATTGACTACACTAAGCTGGTATCTGAGGTAGCATCTCACCTGAAAAATGATATTGCCCATATTGTAGCTGATGCCATTAAACTACATCTGGGGAACATATCATCGGCATTAGATTCTCAGCATAAACGACTGTCTTCTGCAGAACAGCGTATTGACAGATTAGAAACAGGCATGGCTGATAACGGCACATATCTCAAGGCCGCCTCACATAAGTTGTTAGTGATGTCAGAAAAGCTGGATGACCTAGAGAACAGGGCCCGCCGCAACAATTTGCGAGTCATAGGCCTACCTGAATCAGTGAAACCGTGCGATCTTCTTCCATTTTGTGCAGAAGCCATACCCAGGGCATTGGGTTTCTCACATCCTTGCGTAGCAGAATGGGCCCACAGGCGCCGAGGGATGATAACAGACCACATCCGGTCATTGTCCGATACTTGAATTTTGAGGACAAACATCAAATATTTCAGGCATATCGCACACAGAGAAACCTGGTGGCGGGAGGTCATAAGATCCTACTGTTTGCTGATTACTCAGCCGACCTCACCAAACGCAGAAGAGCATTCCACGAAATCTGCCAAACACTGGTCCATCGCGGATTAAATTCGCCCTGGCTTACCCGGCCACACTACGCATCACATGCCCAGATGGCACTATTTCTTCCTTCTCCTCCCCAGAAAAGGCACGCATCTTTCTCCAGAACATGGCGGACGCCGGTTCCTCCTCACCTTTCAAGAGTCCTCCACGGAAGAAGAGATCAGATACTACGCCATAATGGCTTAAGGCGATCTGCACCATTTAACATTCGTCTGGCGGGACAGAGACCTTATACTCGGAACTTTCACTTAGAACTCACGGCAGTTCTCTAGTTGTTGGGGGGCTCTATACCTCCTACATCCAGTTGGCAAGCTCTCAGGAAAAAAGGAAGTCACCCTACAGTTACTTCAGCTTCGACATGTTGCTGCTTTTTGCAGGTTTTTGTTTTACTTTTTATTTTGTTATTTTGATCTCTAGACCAGAGTGCTTCCTTCTTTTGGCTAATGGGGATTCAGCACGGGGCACCCCTGCCATTACAGTTTGTTGTTTAGACTTTGCATTCACGCTAACCATCCATCCATTTGTGGTACATGATTCAGGTGAGACCAGGGGCACTAGGACGCCTGGCTCTCACGAGTTTTCTTTCATGACACATCTTCCTACCTGGATTTACATATCTAAAACTGTCTGATGGAACCCCCCCTGAAAATCATTTCCTGGAATGTGAAAGGTCTTAGATCGCCACACAAATGGTCAAAAATCCTCAGGCACCTCAAGAAATTGCATGCTGATATAGCCCTTCTCCAAGAAACTAACCTTTCTAGCGATGACTTCCAGAGGCTCAAGAAATCTTGGGTTGGATCTGTCTTTGGGGCTCCGTCCATAGGGAGGAAGGCTGGCGTGATAACACTCCTCAGTAAACACCTCCCCCACGAAGTCCTCCAACACCAGCATGACACTGGAGATGGCAGATGGTCACTTCTTTCACTCCGCATCGGAACCCGCCAACCGGATCTCCTCAACGTTTATGGGCCTAACTCAGACAACAAGAACTTCTGTGACTTCATCCTCAACAAAGCGAACTCACAACAATCGGATGCTATGTTCCTAGTCAGAGGGGATTTCAATGCGGTACCCTCTCCTCCGGAGGACCGCCAACGGTCTGATGGTTCAAACTCCACTGGGACCCCACAAGACAAACATCTCACATCTGCCCTGTCGGCCAGTGGACTTGAGGATGTGTGGCGCTATTACCACCCTCTAGACAGAGACTTCACGCACTACTCTCACATGTATCACAGCCTCTCCAGGATTGATCTCTTCCTCGCTGCATCTTCCACCATCCACAAAATTGAATCTGTGGACATTGAAGACATAATCATCTCGGACCATGCACCTATAGTGGTGTCCTTGCAAGGTTTGATTTGCTCCACTCCACCAGTTGTTTGGAGTTTTCCCACTTATTTGAATGCTGACAGTGAATTCTGTCAGGCGCTCAAAACCTGGTGGAGTGACTACTGTATTGATAATATGCAACATGCAGATGACCATGTATTGTTTTGGGAAATGGGTAAAGCGGTACTCAGGGGCAGGATCTTGGCCTATGCGGCTTGTAAAAAGAAATTGGCAAAAAAGGAATACAGGGCAGCTTGTCTTAAAGTCAGGAAAACCTACCTCCTCTTCAAAAATAACCCATCTGAGGCAGCTCGTTCAAGCTGGCTACTAGCAAAAGAGCAGTGTGATCACTGGATACAACTCCTCCATAGGCAAATTAGATCTGCCACCGATTTGACTTTTTAAAAATACGGCAACAAATCTGGTAGGTTACTACAGGGCCGTAGATAATTTTTTTTCCTGGGGGGGGTTCAGCTTCCTCAAATTATAAGATTTTATCTAGCAGACACGCCAAGGTTTGAAAAAAATATACCGGCCATATCATTCCTAAACCAATCCTTTACCCTGAGCAATACCGATTTTGTTGTTTGACACCATATGGATAAAAACCATGTTTTCAAAAGACTTCTAATTGGTACAAATTCACACAAACCACTTAGTATACACTTACAAAAAATATTTAGCAGAATACATTTTGGCCTAATTTAATGAAGAAATTTGATTTTATTTAATATTTTGTATTACAAAAAGTAAAAAATATTTATTTTGCACAATTTTTTGTCTTTTTTCATTTATATAAAAACATTAAATAAAAACCAGCGGCGATCAAATAGCACCAAAAGAAAGCTCTATTTGGGTAAAAAAATAGGCGCCCGGGGGAAAGTCTTTCATTAGCGCCCCCACAAATCAATCCATAGTTCAATGCTCTAGACAAACTGTTCCCTTGCCTATGTTTTCCCCTCCTGATCCACCTTCAAATCACCT